AAAAAAATTTTTATTCAATTTGAACATGTGAAATTAGCTTCAAAAAATTTTAAGACTATCGAGAATTTTTTTTCCAACTTAAAAAACAAATAAGATATCATCAATTAATCTAATGTTGTGTATTCCACCCACCAATATCTTCCAAATACAAATAATGATCGGTTCAATTTTCATTATATGTATTGATAAAAGTTTGCTAAAACTGCAGAACCCCGACTTAATATTTGTTGTTCCTCTAATGATTTTTTCTGTTACAGAATCAACATTTGAACTACTAACTTACGTCGAGAGTCTCTGTAAGATTCTTGATCACCCTTTCAAATATAATAAGGAAAAAAGCAGGCAGTCCATCAAAGTGTTGGTCAAAGTCATAGAAACCTTCAACTATACTTCCAAGAAGGAAATACTCTGCCTCCACTTCATTGTCGTGGCTTTCAACTGTTCGAATAATGAATTCATGGAAGATCAATTAGACTGCAATGTTATTCCATCTCTGACTAATAGTCTGCGTCGTGCCTTGGGAATACCGAAAGAGCTAGAGTTTCAACTTGTAGATGTTTTTTCACTAATCAATCGTCTAGGCCGTGACACAATAACGGTGAGTTTTCACTTCCAAATACAACAGTAATCATCTGAATGTTTTTTGGGAGAGTACATGATTTACTCCCGGCAATTATGGGTTTCAATCAATTCCTTTGGAAAAAATCCTGTCCGAATAAATAAGGACACACATCGATGTCAATAATACACATATTTCCAATTCATCAATTTTGGTCCAAATCAGTTTACAGCTGTTTATCAGCCGTGCCTGCCATTTTTGATAACATATTGAAGTCACTTATGATACCGAAGTGCTCTCTCTCTTAAATTTTATCGGATTTTCAACAAAATAGTTAGGTTGTTCCTCAGTAAAGTATCCTGGAAGCATTACTAAACACCGTCTTCGTTTGTAATTTCTCTTTTCACCTCATAAAATGTAAATACCGTTTCTTGAATCAAATACTAACTCCCTTATTACTCAGTGGTATATGCTTGAAGACAGGCAGTAAACAAATCTGAAGAAATGAACTTACAATCTACAAAGTAGGTTGAATGAAGTGACGCCTATCAGAAAACAACTACTCCACTGGCTAATACCACGAACGGCGTTGGATTATATCCGACAGGCGTCAGTGCAGGAAATTTTTTGTCAATTTTTGTGGCGATAGTATTTGCTACGCTATCAGTTACTTTTGCGCGATTTGCTTGATGACATTGTCTCCTGAAAGAATTGAATTCATGCTGGTACTCAGAGAATTTCTGATTTCATCCGTCATTCCACATGTTATCACCATATTTTATGCCATGATCGTAGAATACGATACATTGATATGCAGAAAAATTTTGGATTTTTTCGCGCTTGAACTAATAAGTTTTGGAGACTTCAAACTAGTGGCGCAAAACTTATGTGTTTAACCGCTGCCAACCATATATGATGTATCGTTCTTAAATACTAATGTATTGTGTATCAATTTTTGCAATATTATAATAATTTATCACTTTTCTAGTACGATGAATCTGCGACAAATCAAGACGACGAGGCTACCAACGCTCCTGACGAGGGAGACGAACCTGGATGGGTCACTGGTCAGTAAATTCATCTGTTTGTAATAATAATTTCAAAATTTCAAGAAAGTAGTGGGTAGTTAGAGATGATTAATGAGTATGGCTCAGTCGATGGAATATCCAAAAGTCTTCGATAAATATCCGATCATTGACTTTTAAGTTGGGGGAAGAATTTTGAATATTACTGGAAGCTCTGGCGTTGAATAAATCCAAGACAAGCACTGTTCACGAACACCAAAACTGTAACTCTCTTTTCGAAGCGCATTTCAACCAAGTTGGCATTTTCAGGATATGAAGTGCCAACACAAAAATTATATTTTCGTTCAAGAACTGATGAATACGTTTTTTTGTTTCAAGAGCAATCACAGTTGTTTTCGAAGAATCGGCCTGTCGGAAAAAATAAAATTCATCGTAGTTTCATTAGTTAACCACACCGTGCGGTGTTCATTAGTGATTAGGAATATTGAAATGAGTATTATTTCAGTTCAATAATCGATACGTCATTCAAACTGAAAGAAGTGACAACTGACATGCTATTTCGCTATTAACATATGACAACGAAAAACAACTCGAAATTGTTTGCTTTTTCCATTCACATATTTTTTCACGAATAAACCGTGCACATACATTTCAACAGGTCATTTTTTTCAATAATTATCATCATTATGTGAAGACTTTACACAACGTCTACCGTCTTGGAAAACAAACCATTTGAAAAATGATTGTTTGAAGGTGATTGACAATGTTTCATGATGAATTTCACTAGTTCGGACTTCCATTGTCTACTATATAAAATGATTTGAAATCCCTGAAACAACTAGAGAAGAATATTTGAAAATGAATAGCTGGAAATAACAATTATATTAACCAACATAAACCTGAAATGAAATAATAGTGAAATAAAACACAAGTAGAAATAAAACGATTGAATAAATTAAAATAAAGAAATGAAAATAATAATAAAAAGTGGGGAGATTCCAAGTCACGTTAGTTCACGACGTTTCGATTGTTAGTATCTACAATCGTCTTCGGGTGATGACTGGACTGATTCCTCCGAGAGATGA